TGTGGTCGAGTGCCACGATAGGATGTGTCATTTTGGACCGAGGAAGACGTGGGAAACAATGAGACGGTTTTACTGGTTCGAGGGAATGAAGGACTTCTTGAAGTATCATCTGAGAGCGTGCTTGAACTGCCTGTTCAACAAAAATCTGTCGGGCAAGAAGGAAGGGTTATGCAATCCGATCAGACCCGAGAGACGCCCATTCCAGAAAGTCTTCATGGACCATATGGGACCGTTGCCGGCATCGAGAGGAAAACAACATGTGATCGTTCTGATCGATGGGTTGACCCAATTCGTCGTGTTAGAAGCAGTGAAGACGACGGGAACGAGATATGTCATTACGTTCCTCGAGAAAACGTACCTGAACTATGGGAATCCCGAGCGATTGGTATCCGATAGTGGTACAGCATTCACATCAGCGGCATTCGAGAATTTTTTGATCAAAGAGGGAGTCGAGCACACTTTGATTTCGACACAGTTTCCGCAATCGAATGGATTGACTGAACGACGAACAAAGAGATAGCGAGATTGTTACGAGCCTTGACGGAGAAGGAAGATAAATCAGACTGGGCCGAGAAAATTCCGATTGCGCAGGTGATGCTCAGCCGAACAGAGGCACGAGGGACGGGCAAGGCCCCCTTCGAAGCGCTGCATGGATATTTACCGAGACTCGATAATTTTTCGCAAGTGGTTGAAAATATGCAAGAAACCGTTTGGAGACCGGCAGAAGAAGTGAGGGACGATATTCGACAGCAGATCGAGAACAGCCAGGAACGCGAGAAATTACGACGAGAAGAAGAAACCGCACAAGATCCGTTACAAAATAGGAGACATTGTATTAGTTTCGAGATTGCCAGTCCAAACAGGACAGCCGACAAAACTTCAACCGAAGTTTCGAGAACTATTGACTGTAGTCGAGATATTGCCAGAAGATTCGTATCGATTGCTCCAACTGGGAAAAGACAAGAGCTACACATGCACCGCTCATTGCTCCCAATAACGCTGGTATAATGTCCGCGGGTTAGAGGAGGACGAGATAGTTCCATTGAATGACAAACCCCTTGGAATTCCAGACATTAACGAAGAGGAACCGAGTACTTCAGGAAATAATATTCAACAGCCGAATGTGGATGTCACAATGATGTCGGTTGGAGGCGAGAACGACGGTGACATCGACGAGGTTTCGATGGTGTTAGAGGAACTCGGTCGCGACGAGCTAAAGGAAACAACGAAATTCGAGCGGACCGGCAACGTCGACTTGAATTCGGCGATTTTCGGGTCACCGACGAGAGGATCGGAAGAAGAGGAAGAAAGGGTCGAGACGAGCGGAAGGAGGAATCCTGTTCGGGCGGCGAAATTCGAAGGCAGATACGGAAAGTAGGTTAAAAGGATAACTAATGCTTGGTTTCGACTAAAAAAAAAATTAGCGGAGAGGTCGTAACATTGATTGGGGAAATAGATAGTTGAGTACACGAAGGTATAATAGAGCTAGAATGATGAGGGCATCATGTAATGTAGCGTGGACGAGTTGTCGGTAGAGGGCGTTCTGGCGGAAGTCGAGAGTGGAGACGGGGAGCGGGGTTCTTGTATCGAGTCGTTCGCAATCGATCGCCGATACGGGTCAGTGTTTTGTCGCTTCGATCTCCGACTTAAGCGGTTCGTGTACGAGTTTCGATCTCCGACTTAAGCGGTTCGTGTACGAGTTTCGACTTGACGACGTGGGCTGTTCGGGTACGAGTTTCGAGTCAGGGACGCAACAGTGCGAGTGCGAAGATGGAAGTTGATCGACCACAGCAGCCCAGAAGGAAGGTTGTGGCGCACCGATTCGGGGAGCCCAATGAATACACCACTTGAACACTGAACTTCTCCTGGAGACGGGTGCGCTAATTGACGGGGAACTGGGCGGACGTGGTGACGTCGGCCTAGCCAAATTTCGTAAGAAATATGATGTTGGGAATGGAACCCCAGAGGTTATCTTACACTCGCCACGGATCGGACGTGACCGCCGTGGGCTGAGAGTTTCTTGCTACTGACAGGTTCCGCACTCAGCCGCCAGGGCACCGGCTGTCATATTGTCTGCTCAGCTGTCTTCTACAGCCCCGCGCGCCACTCCACAGCTGGCCGCTGAGAGCGCGTCTGCTGGAGACCGATGCCGTCGGTTGCCCTCTGTGTACCGCCCCGTCTCCCTGAATATTTTACTGAATCACTACTATAATCATAACGGTATTGATATATGGATCACATTACAAATAAAGAATATGGGAACCTCCGTTCCCTGGGAAGACAGATGATAATGGTTTCTTAGTAGTCACCCAACCAAGTCGCCTCGAAATCTCCCCTGAGCTCGTTTGTTTTCTGGTAGTCTGTACTTTTGTTCTGGGTAGCTTGCGCAACGGACCATGTCCGTTCGTCACGGTCCCCCCCCGAATTTTCGAGACCGTCGGAAATTCTGTGAGTCATGTGCTTTGGCGCGCTGTAAAGTTTGAAATATGCTCCATCCCCCGAGCTCACAGCGACGACGTCTCGCTCGCTTTGGCTTTTCATTCTTCCGGAAGAAACCGTGACGATGCCTTCTCACGTCCCCCATGAGCGGTCCCCCAGGAGTATTTTCACCCGACAGGTGATGTTTGATTCGGCTCTCTTGAGTGTTACTTTGATTTCCTTCTTCTTGAGGACTTCCCGGCGTTATTGTTTACTGAATATGCGATTCGTTCGCTTTTAGTTAATCGAAGACACCCCCGGGCTAGAGGCCCATACATATGCCGTAATTGACCGAGTGTCCCGAACAGTTTGGGACAGCTTGGTCATCATCGAGCAAAGTCCGTACCGCCGGGCGTCCCGGGCTCTGTACGGCGAGTGCGATCCGGTCGCCGAGGGCGACCTGGTGCCGGCCCGGCGACTTTTCTGTGTCGTTTTGCCGCCTTGGCACGCAGAGCGTTTGTTGTGTGCTCTGCGGCAGGTCGCCCACGCCGGTCGCCGGGCCGCCACCGGGTGCCGCCCAGTTTGCCGAATATTTTTGGCCGAAACCGCTTGACCGACAGCGTTTGGCCGAAAATAATTCCCATCGCCCTTTGACCGAGCCCGCTTTACCGAAACCGCATCAACGAAGCCGCTTGACCGAATGAGATGATTCAATAGGATTTTTTTTTCGTTTGATATTCCACCACAAGAAACTTCAAATCTTACAGGACGATTATGTATGTACAACTTAAGATGCCTGTGCCTTAATTCAGGGTTCCGTTTGCTGAGCATCGAACTCGATGCGTTTTCATAGCTTGATATTGAAAGCGATCTTTTGGACGTATTCGCTGAGAGTGAGCTCATGGTTCTCGTATTGTGCAACCAGGCGAATTATGCGGTTGTTGGCTTCGGCGTCCTTCCTCTTCGATGCCTTTGGTGCTTGTCCCTGACCGAGTTGGAGCATTCGGGTCTTCGATTCCATCTCAAGTTTTTTGAGATGATCTACCATCTCGAATATGTTTACGTGGGAACGACCCACACCTCGGTTCAAAGCTCGATGCCATCCTTCGAGATGGTTCGTGGTCCTGGCTCCAAAATTAGCGTGATGGTTCCATAAGCCACGCGGAAACACCGTCGGGTTCTCCGGCCAGGTTCCTATAACGTAATCCTTGAACGACTCCGGGGCAGCATGCGCGGGGTGTTCGGTTCCAGGGGCTTCAGCCTCGATGTCGAGCCAAGCGTTGTCAATCTCTCTTATCGGTACGAGTGCCAGGGCTCCGACAGACCTGATAAATTTCTTCACGAGAGGATCTTTGTAGTGTTGCTTCAGGCCGAGGTCTTGTACTTTGCGCCAAAGAGCTTGAGCAAAGTGAAAGCAGCAACCCTTTATGGCCGCCAGCGGGAACAATTCTTCGATGGACTTCAGTGTCGATTTCGAAATCCAGTTGGAAACATGGAGGATTGAACGCGACGCCGATAGAATGAGCGTAAGCCTGTAGCAGGGAAAACATCCTGCTGTATGTCCGCTTTTGCTTGTCAGGTAGTAGGAAAAAAGGCCATTGCTATCATCTCTCCTTTGTGAAACGAGTGTAGTGTATATAGCTGGAGGAACGTTCCGTCCATATATACAACCGGAGCCGAACATAGCTCCATCACAAGTTGGACCGTGGAGAAACCAAGAATCCTATCCTCGATACCGTCATCGATTATGAGGAATGTCTGTCCGTCTACAGTCTTTCCCCATGAATCCTCGAGGACAATAGCTGAGCGAGATGTCGGCAGAGGGGGGCGTACACTGGCTCGTGCAAGGTACAGGATTGAGGCCACGCTCGGAAAAGAAGGAAGTGCAGCACCGACTTCCTGCTCTGAATGCGCTGCCGAAAACCTCTGAGCAGATGATGTCACTACTTCCATGTAGACTCTCTTCCCGCTTTTTTGAGGGTCGGCGATGACTCCATCTTTCATTTCCTGGATGGCCTTGCGTCGGATAATTTCTTCCGTCTCGGGTTGATGGCAGTGGACCCCTGCTGTCCTCTGGACGAAGCCCTTCAGAGGAAATTGCAATCACTGTTATTATTTATGCTTAGGTCGATTGGAATGTGAGCAAAGCGGAGGACTATAGAATTCTCTCTCGTTCGAACATACAATCTAGGAAGGTAACACTTTTGTTGCTCCGTACCTGGGATAAGATCGCTCTCGCGGAGCATCCCCGCTCCTTCGATCGAATACATCGACAGTACAAGTTACTCGGGCTCCTCTTATCGACTGAGTAGAGATAATCGTTGATTTGATACAACGATTTGCCTTTCGACGATGTCACAACCTGAACTTCCATGTTTCCGGTACTTCAGGGATCGACTAACAAGCACAGGTGCGCTCCGAGCGAAAGCGAGCTTCGAATCGCACACTCGAATTTACTGTTCCGTGCACGTCACCGAACAGCAGCGGTGTGCATTTCGCGCGGTCAAAGAAAACGCCGAAGGAACAGCCCAGCCACAGGTTATATGGAAAACTTCAATCCCCTGGTTTATCGCTAGGTATTCTCAGGCGATACGCGACACGCCTGACTCAACCCGGGCAGATTCGGTCAAGCAGCTTCGGTCAAGCGATTTCGGTGAAGCGGTTTCGGTCAAATGGTGTTGTCCGGTATTTTCGGTCAAACGGTGTCGGTCTAGTGGTTTCGGCCCGCAGGATTCGGCAAACTGGATGGTAGCCGCTGGCTTCCAGTTTTCTTGAAGGATTATCATGAGACAGACTTTCCCTTCATCATCAACACTGGGATGGTAGATTTTCGTCTTAAATCGTATTCTTGGCGCCAAGAATGGAAATTGGGGCGGGAAATTCAGGCTCAAATTCAGGAAAGCACCTTGACTGAAGGGCGGAGTCGTCGGTTGCAGGAGGACCTCCCATTCTAGAACATTAGCGTCGTCCACCTTGATGATGGGATATCTCGGCAGTGGCCCCGCTCGGATGTCTTTGAGATCTTTCATTGTCCTACGGCAAGCTGCCATTTTCCCAGAGATTTAGACAGAAGAGGGCTCGAAGAGTATCGCTATCTTGAGGGATTCGAGGAATGCGAAAGGATAATTTTGGACTTTGTTGTTATCAGCGGTTTGTTAGTTTCTGGTGTTTTGTGTTTCGGTGATATTGAGAGTTCCTCATTCTTGGGCGCCCGGCTTTCATCACTGTGCCGCTTGGGTACCACGCACCGCGAGTTTAGTGGATACCGGGAGAGATTGGACACGCATGCAGGGAGCGCGGTCGCTTTGTTACGAGTTCCGAAGAGTTTAGACGTCCAAGAGATGGTAGATGGACCCATTCCGTAGTCTTCGACCCCGGAAAGCGTCGAACGCAGGAAAAGGGTTGATCAGCAAGACTCGAGCTTCCGTATGTGCGGATGATTCTCATGCGTTGGCGAAGTCCCATGAACGTCATGGACGGCATAATGAGGGCGGGATAGCGGTAGCATGTCACAGACATCGTCCATGATAGCTCGACTCACCTCGGTTTCATTTTGAGACAGGCAGGATTCATACCTGATCGAGCCCTGGTCAGCTCGGAAATGAAGCAGCCGGTGTTCGTTGCAGTTCTGAGTGTCAGCAGCGCGGTATTCACGTCAACCCTCTCCCGTAGAGAAGAGTAGCTCTTCAAAGCCACACGTCCCCCAAATCGACTCCGCTCGGAGCCGTATCATTCGAATCCGGTGCGACTTCCATTGTCGTCGACGTACATGCGAACTTTCTAGCTTTGCTGCTGCCTGCTGTATTCTGGATATTCATCCGCTTCATCTCTCCGCCATCGCCCTGGTCCTCGAGCTGTCGCAGATCCAATTGATGATGAGTAGGACTCGGTCGCGATTCGCGATCGTGACCGCGATTTTTCCGGCTAAAAAGGGCCTCTCCTTGTCTTCACCGAAAATTGTATTGGTTGTGGTCGAAAGCTGTCTTTTCTCATTGAAATCACGCACTTGGAGATTCTGGAGTACCACTGCTTCTCCTTCCTTGTTATCAAGTTTTCCGACGAACTCCGACCAGAGTCCGATCTCGACCATTTTCATGGTGTCATCCACCACCAAGACTGTTTGTTTCTCTGTATTGGTGCCGTCCCGGCAATTGAAAGTTTGAGGCGGTCGGACGTCGAAGATCACCGCGAGGATGTCAACGGTAGCGTTGACTGGCTTGAAAATTATTTCCGCGAGGGTGGTGATACTGGCCTGTATTTTCGGCAAATCCTCCCCCGTGATTTCGATAATCCGACTCAGCTTGATGAAATATTCAAGTTTAGGATGATGTCATAGGGATGGAATCTATTGGCGTACTCGAATGATATAGCCGAATACCTTCGTCAACTGCAGCTCGCAATCGTGTCCTGTAACGCGATATTGCTGGTACGCCGACTTGACTTTGAACGCATTCACTTTGTAGCAATTACCGACGGCTATTTTGTCGAAGATGTCGTCGGCCGCGTTGCCGGAGACAATGATGTTCATCTCCCCGCTGGTATTCCTGAGTACGAAATTGAATATTTTTCCGTTCGCATTGCCCTTCGACCAAGATTTCACCAGCGTCTTCGATTTTACACGACCCTGTATCTCGCCGCCGACTTTTGCGAGGCTGATATCTCGAAGGAGCCTTGGCTTCCTCTTCGGCTGATCATGTTTGTTCAATGAGGTGTGATCGAGTTGATCCACAAAACCCTCATTGGGACGATCCACTGTGTAATGGATAAGACATTTGACGTGATATTACATCACCTATGCCGATGGTATGCTGTTCGGGATGGGTGAAATTAACTCGCCTGGCTTTCGTCTGGGTGCACTCGGGGCTCTTGAAACTGATGGTCTCCGTGACCCTTCTGGTTCCACTGGCTTCGACATTGCTGTATGTATACCTGCCTCGCAAATCGCAATGCTCGACTTCCGTTGTTTTCGGGTTGCAGTTGCAAAGCTACTGCTGGTGGCTGCTCTGACATCGGACATGGTGGGATTTTTATACTGTCGATTCGTGAGACATTTTATGTTTCGGATTATCCCACTGTTTTCTCAGTATCTTCAAGTATCTGTTTTTTCTCTCATTGATGATTTCGGAATCACTTTCTCTCGATTTTTCCACGTCCCTGCCGTTCTTCGAATCGGGTATGGGTTTTTGTATTTTTCTCCTTGTGTTGCGGCTTTGTCATCCATGATCTGTCATCATTACCTGTACCTCCTCGATCGATGCTTGGTTCCGGATCGAAACGCGGCGTATCTTCCGGGAATGGACATGATGAGATCTCCTATCTTGATCCTATTTTATGCGATTTCTGATCTCTTAGTGGATGTTGATCCGCTTGATTGTATAGCGATCATGTTATCCCGCAAATGGTTCATATCAACAGTTGATAAGGTTGAACACTGGTCGATGATATGAAATATACGATATGTATGGCTTGCATGATACCTTAATGCCTCGTGAAAATGTCAGATCGATTGTGGTACCGCCCAGTGTGGTTTTCCCCAGCGGGTCGCTGTCCAGTGTGAGGTTTAAGTGCTCCTTCAAAACGATGGGAGACGAATCCTACTTTCGTTCGTTAGGTTGAAATCTCCCATCATGATCATGGGTACATTGAAGGTCCCGTATTTGTTGTAATCCCTGAGCGTGGTTGAAATGATGTTCTCCAAGTTGTCCATGTTTGCACATTGATGTACATAAATCGCCACGAGGATAAATTCAATCCCTTGGTGATTGAAACTTATTCTTGCTATATCGGCTGTGTGATTTTCGATCGTCATTGGAGTGGAGAGGGATGATGATCCATGTCCGACGTCATTATCATGTCGGAATTGGTTGCACCATAAATCGCGACTCCTCCTGATCGTTCTCCACAGAAGGCATGGTGTTTTAAGTGGTAACCCTTCAGGGCTGCATCATCTGCCGTGGCCCTAAGCCAGGTTTCTGTCAGAACCATTAGGTCAACGCGACTCAGTAACGAATCTGTTGTAACATCTTCCGCGAGTGCTTTCAAGCTTTGTACATTGATGTTCGCAATGACCAGTGAATGCTTGTCCTTTCCCTTCGTGTCAAGAAGATGTTTGATGTCCGTGGTCAGTGTACGGAGTCGGTGTGATTTGAGTCAACGGAGGTTTTTCGGAGGTTTTTCCATCAACGAAGGTCTCGAGCGCAATCGTACCGATGCCAGGTTGAATCGAGTCTGCTTGGATTCGTCCATGTTGTCCCAAGCGGATCTGAGGTGCCTGTACCGCCTAGGCAACCGAAGGAGCTTGGTGATGACTTCAGTCTCATCCATGTGCTTTCCCAGATCACCCAACCTCTGAGCCATCGACTCGACGTTGGCGATGTGCGTGGCCATGCTCATACCCTCGGTCATTCTGTACGAATGGAACTCCTGGAGAAGAAGACTGATCGACAAAGTGGATCGGGACTCATAGAGCGTCATGAGCCGTCTCCACATATCTGCAGCGAATGTAAGCGACATGATAGAACGAACAACGGGAGTCTCCAAAGAGTTCAGTATCACTGCCTTCGCCTTTGCTTCTATCTTCATTCACGGAACAGGACGATTCGGCGCAGGACGGTTCGGCGCGAGACGATTCGGCGCAAAGGATGATTCGGCGCCGGACCATTCGGCGCAACGGATGGTTCGGCGCGAAAGATGATTCGGCGCAAAGGTAGATCCGGAGCGCTGGATAGAAAGGATCCGGTCGCTTAGCGATCGAAGAGGAAACATATCACGGTTGAGAAAAATTAACGATGGTTTAGCGACGGAATCGTCAGAGTGAAGTCCAATTTCACGGTCTACTTTTCGCTGCAAACCTCGCAAATCCTAATGTTGTGCGCAGTGGAGTGAGGAACATAGGTAACATTTCGGTTCCACGTGTGCACCTGATGCTTGCAGGTCCCGTTTCTGAATACATTAGCTTCGAGTGCTGGGATGCCTCTGATCAGTCTTTTCGACATCGCAACTGCGTATCAGTGTTTCCGCCAGAAATCGCAGACAAGAACTCTGAGTAGGCCGTGGCCTTGAGTCAATCCTTCGCGTAATTTCTTTCCGTTCGAGCTTAGTCATTCTCAGCTTTCTTTCCGCCCCATCGCTCTGATCTCCGATCCGAGCAAAATCGAACGTCCGTCGTCGAAAAAAATGAGCATGAGTTGAATCCGAACAACGGCAACTCGAGTCTTCTCTTCCCGACTTCGTCTACCTTCTACCCTTATCTCTTGAGATCTGCGGTCTTCCCCGTTCACAATCAGCGATGGACTCTCAGTCGAACTTCGAGACCCCGAGGATCATCGAAACAGAACGCGGGAAGCGTAAGCTCGCCTACCAGGGACACATGTATACTCAGGATAGGAAGAACTCGTCGGGAACTGTGCAATTCTGGCGCTGCGAGTTCAAGGATAAGTGCAAAGCTCGGTTGCACACAGCTGTAGGAACCGACG